ATTTTCGTCTCATAAACTCAGCCCAGTGTAAGCGTACTAGAACTAACAGAGGCAAAGGAGATAATGGAGACAAATATCCCTCCCCTTTTTGTATAGGAATTCAGCAAACCCCTCAGAGTTAAGATACTGCTTAGACATTTCACATCCGTCTACTGTATAGACCCAAGCTTAAAATAATCTCCATTCACTCAACTCAACTTGTTGGTGGTTCCAGATCTACAGAGATACTGAACTAAAACTGGTTTCAACTGGAGAGCCGATGGCCCAGGCAAAAATGAAAGGCCTTCATCACAATGCAGGGAGATGGCCGAGCAGTGGCAGTCCCTGCATTAAGTGGTGTCTCTAGCTCCCATAGGACCTGCCCTCAATTGCTCAAAGAGCCTGACCTCTGACAAAGACCAATGATTTCAGCAGTAATTAATGGAACTGTCAAATTAATTAACCCAAGTCTTTGTTCACAGGGAAAAACCCCTCTAGTATCAATACTGTTGTTCACCAGTCCTTGACCAAGCCTATAGACCCAAACCTTCTCAACTGGGACACAGGGACACCACTGACTGATGGCCCTAATAAGCCCCTACTTAGTAATCTGCTGACATTTGTTAATAAACCTTCTCACCATAATATAATCCTTTGATGATGTGACCAGTGGACTAACAGGTCTCTAAAACCTCACACTATTTTAAATAGATACAAGCCTGCAAATACCAGCATATACCAAACATATTTCCTATAATATTTCTCAGATATCCTTTTGAATTATGGTGATGAAACACTAGACAGATACTGTAGGATTTCATCAAGTCATTTAATAGATGGCCCTCATTAAAACACTGGTCCCCTGTCCTTGTCTATGAAGACTCTGACTCCTACAAATGCCCACGTATACATTTCCATACTATCTCTTTAGAGGATTCAGAACTATTTTCTTACACCTAACACAGCTTTTATTCCATTTAGAATAATTACCCACCATCCCATTTCTGACTTTCAAGAAAAACAAGACACTTAATTGACCACAGGAGGACTCTCTCAAGGGCACCAGGCTGCACCCGCTCGGCTGCAAGCTCCCAACTTCAGCTGATGTAATCGGCTACAAGAAGCTGACTTCTATTTTTAAATTATACCCTTTTACTCTGCCTTCAAAGGGCACATATATCACACGTTGTAACTTTGCTCGTAAAATACCTCGTGTTCCCGGGTGAATCACACTGTCAGGAGGAGCCTCCGGCTGCACACAGTCACCCAGCCTTGCCCATTTAGTTAGATTCACCCACCACAGTCCATTATTTGGACAGAGGAGAACAGCTAAGTGTGGCCACACTCTCCAGGTATCTTGCTACTCAGGGTCATTTCCACAAGGAGCAAATGACTAGCAGGGTCTTACTTGTAGGCTGGGCTCAAGCTCTCCCCTCTCTGTTTCCACCCCCTTCACACAAGCTTGGTAAAAATTGTCCCATGTCAATGCTACAGCTCTGTCTTCAGCTGCTGAGCTTCTAAAGGTGCCAGAAGGAAAACAGACTATTCGCTTTGTTTGATTTTAAGTTTCATTCATCATTTCAGCTATACTCACTGTGTACTCTTTAAAAGGTTTCTTGGCATTCTGAAAACACTGAAAAAAATCTTGGTTGGACATGAAAACACACTTGAACTTGCTATTTATTTATTTATGCTTATTCTGCTTATTTCTAAAAATAATGAAGGGCTCTGTAATTAGAGAGTCTAGTGGAGGTCAGTACAGTGCCTATCTTTCTGGTCTACTTCCTGCTTCATTACACAGTCACCCCATGTCTCTCCTGGGTTTGTATAAAAGCTTCCTAGCAGATGTGCCAGGTTCAAGGCGTGGGACCTTCCTATCCTTTTTCCACCTTAAAATCTGAGTGAGCCATTGAGATCACAAATTTGAGCATGCCTCTCCCTTTCTGAACACCCTTCCCTTCTTGCCTTCTGCTGTGCAGATGTCCTGTCTTCTCTGGCCCTGTTTTCCTATCTTGCTCCACGGTCTGGCCACCCCTGTACCCTTGCCCACCTCTCCTTTGCTGTGGTTCTAAATGCCCTGTTGCTTTCTTTCACTTAGGGCCCCTGTTCAAGTTGTATCCGCCATAGAGTACTGCGTCCTGTTGTTCACACTCTCAACCCAAGCTCTTCCTTCTTGCCTTTCACATCTTGCTTAGATGCCCTTTCCTCCAGGATGCCCCTTCTCAGGTGTTCTTGTGGCACCACATGTTGCCCCAAATGACCACACAAGACAGGATGGGCGGTGATGATGCCTTCTTATATACTACTGTATTTACTACTATATAATATCATTTGTTTAATGAAGAAAAACACATGAATGAAGGCACACTAAAGACTCCAAATAGGGAGGGCAACAGTTCAGGATTCATGAAATGTGAAGGCAGGAGCTGGCACAGAGGAGCCCGAAACTCCCACTCCCATGGTAATTCCTGAGGAGCCACTGGCAGCTGGATCAAGCTATCCCAGATGACTCAGAAACACCTTTAGGTAACACATTCCTGATAGATCAATGGAGACTCTGTGTAAAACGCAGTCCCACCGGGAACAAACACTAATGATCACGCAAGGTTGGATTTCGTGTTATAAACTCAAGTGAACAGAAAACGTCACAATTTAAAGTCATCCATCAAATAGGGCAGCAACCTGTAAATGAATGATTCTATTTCTTACTCCTACATCCATGTATGTCAATTTCCAAAAGATGGGGAGGTCAGCTGCATGTGGTGGGAATGCCAGAGAGGTCTGAGAAAACACAGCTCTGGAACTTCAAACTGGGGGCCTGGCATTCTGCCACCCAATAGAGGAGTGTGAATTTGGGGCCAGGTGCTGGGATTAGGGCTCTCAAGAGAACCAACATGGTCCCTGTCCTGTGGAGGGTCCAGCCTAATCAAATACACACTTAAAAACAGGCTTATTTTAAAAAACATACTTTTCCCCTAAATTCTGAGTACACCATGTTCAGCTGTTAAATTAAATCCAGCACACCAGGGATTAGGGAGTAAGCCATAGTTTCAGCTACTTCTGCATGGCAAAGGATTTTTTAAAAAACCATATTTTCCAAAGTCAACCAATTGATGACACTAAATGGTGGGAAATGTTTCAATGTTCAAACCAAATGACGAAGGACTTGGTTTCTATTTCATTCTTACAGAGTAACCACCTTCCCCCACACCAAACAAAACCAAATAAACACAATTCCACATGAAATTCTTCTGCCTTCTAGAATAGCTGTATGTTTACTTTTATTATCTGGCACAGGGGAGGGACTCAATAACTGTTAATTGAGTGAATAAATCAGAGGAGAGGAATTACCATGAAAATGCTTTCGTCCATTTTAGGTATGCTTTTCAACTTCCTTTTTTTTGTCTCTTAGGGAAAAAAAATTATGCATATTTTCTTGGATTCTGACTTTCACATCCCTTTCTGACCTTGAGTTAGTTACCTAACTGGGTATCATTGTCCTCATCTATAAAACTAAATCTGTGTGTTGGTGACTGTGGGGCTAAGGGAGTAGCAGATACAAGGATGATCAGCACTATGCCCTGCAGATAGTGTTTTTTCTTTCTTTTTTTTATACCTGTTCCATTCCATTTTTCTCACCCCCTCCCCCAAACAAAGTATGAAAGACAAAGCAAGTGACTAGCCTGGTTAGAAAGCCAGAAAACTTTGAAAGTAGCTTAGATTCACCAGTATCATTTCAAACTGTGACAATTTTATTTACTATCTCAAAAGCTTGATTTTTCCCTTTTAAAAGATTAGTGAATTTCATAAGATCATCTCTAAAGGAGAGAGATATTTCAATCTTGATGTTCCATGAACTCAGAAGTCTGCCTTCTAACATCTATGTTCAGAAAGAAAATGGATGTTGATTCCCTCCCTACGGAAGGATTCTAAAAATTACAAACCAAGAGGAAATTTGACTTTTAGAGGAATCTGTATCAATCTAATGTGTAGGTCAAGATCTGGTGATCATTCTTTTACACATAGAAGGTCCCTCCTTTCATTTATCCAACCCCCACATCCAGCCTCCAAAACCAGTAAGTTTTTCCATTCATAGTAGCTCTGCAAGGATGTACTTAAAAGAAAATCCAGGAATTTTAAGTAGTTATCTCTAATTACATGTGGATCATTTTAAATGAGTAAGACAGTTGACACAATATTATGTCAAGCTCAACATTTGGCTGATGTTTTTTTTTTCTTTCACACCCTGAAATACATCCAGTTGACCAAACAAAGAACTACCAAGACTGTAGACACACACACACACAGAAAAAAAAAAAACCCTCTCTATGTTTTCATAAATACTCAGTGCACCACTGCCACCCAGTGGTAAGATGCATCCTTGTATGTCAAAATCTCCAAACCCTACATTGACACAAGGTAATTAAAAAACTAACTGGAAATTAGCTATGCTACTCACCAGTTATTTCAGGGCAATTTAAGACCATACCCATCTCTATGGGTACTTATTTTCCTGAAAGAAATTTCTGAAGAGGTCAATATCAGATAAAGTCAATGCCACATTAGCTAATCCTACAACTAAACCCCACTGCTTCTGAACACATCACAAAACAAAGGAGTATTATTGTCTTATTAATTTTAATACACATTAGCAATTTAAAAAGATTGCCCCAATATTGTGTTATCACCTTCCAGATTCATTTTATCTGATCTTGATTTTTAGTTATGCGTGAAAAGGCATTTAAAAGTGACAACCGTACAAAAAGTGCACATTATATGAAAATCTGAGTTCAATTAAAACCAGCTACTGAATCCCAGCAATTTCCAGATGTCTCTTCTATCTTATCCTTAGAGAATTATATATCACATTAATTGGTATTCTGTCACATAAAAAGACGTCAGCAATGATTAATTGCATCCTTGGTGCTTTTGAGCTAAGCCTTCTTCACCAGAGGGATTCAATCACACCTCATTACCTTCTAGCAGGTACCCCTTTTGGTAAACCTCATAAAACCTCCTACCTTCCTGAACTTCTCCATTTGCTTGTAGAGGTCTGGATCGAGCTCCTGAGACACGTCCTTCATCCATAATAATGCCCCCCTGTATTCTGTCCGACACTGTTCCATGCGGTTCACCGTCAGCCATGTATCTGAGATCGCCCGATGCCGAAAAGTCTCCACTTCTTGGTGAAATCGACACAAAGGATTTCTCAAGGCCAATCTGGGAAAAAAAAAGAGACAAAGCGACAACCTTGAAACCAAGGCAATCACCAGTTTGAATCCTTGACACTTTGTCTTAAACTTATGAACCTAGAACAGTGCCTGGAAGAGAAGATGCTTCATTAAGATTTGGTGAATAATAGTTAAAATGTATGTGAATCTATGAGTTGGCCAGGGACGACCACCAGTGTTCCATACTTCAGTTTGCTGGGACTAATGTGGACCATTGGGAAACACCTCTCTCAGTGTTGCTGGGGGTGGCCTCAAGCTTGGGCAGTGTTCCTTTGAAGTTGGAACCAATCCTGCATCAATGATGGACAATCAAGGCATGCCATTTCCATTCCAATCTTGGTCACTCCCTGTCTCCTGATCCCCTAAAGGTGGGCTCCTTGAAGATACTGTATGTGACCAGGGCCATTTTGATTACTTTTCAGGAGCCAGGGCATGTACTGCTTGCTCCAGGAGAAATGAAGCATGAACTGAAGCATTTTCAGGTGGTTAGGAGAGATAAGCACATTTATTGAGGCTCTACTACAGAGATAGGGTATATAATTTAATTCTTGTAAAAAAGAAAAACCTCTCCAAACTTAAAAGATATACGTCAGAAATGTATATTATATGAATGTAAAATTATTATAATATGAGCCAAGCACACTGTCATTTATTCAGAAAAAAAAAACATTTGCGATATATCAAACTCTAAGTACAATATTTACTTTGGGTAGAAAATATTGCTTCTTTCATATTCCTACCCAAAATGAGCAGTGTCAGATGAATTACACTTTTAAAATACATTCTTTTCCAGAAAGATTCAGGGCACAGGTGCAAAATATAAAAATGAGATGAATATTTCAATTTCAATTTAAACGCAAACTCAGGAACAATGGTGCCAGGGAGCTGAGGGAAACTCATGGAGGCTCCCTCAGTGTCTGCAATGCCACCTTACGTGTGCAGACCTGAAAGAGTATGAATGGTTCAATAAGAAAAAAAAATCCCCTTTGCTTTTTCCTCTTGTCTGTAATGTTTTAAATATTGAGAACTTCTAGAAAAATAACTTGCCCACATTGTCCTACCTAGACATTGGAAATTTTTTCAAATACATATTGTTACCCCATCGAGGAAACTTGTGCTCTATCCTATTGGTTTAAATTTAATATTCACCTTTCATCAAACAGAATGAGCCATTGTAGCAATGACTAGCAAATAAGTCAGTTAAACAAACACTGGTGTGAAGGTTTGTATAATTGAAGGCTTCTATGAAAAGTTGTAAACAGTCCTCAGATGTCTCCCTGAGTATCGTATTCATTTCTGGACTCCTTTTTCTCTTCCCTTGGATTTCAACTATTTTCCTAAACTGGCTGTAAAAAGGTCTTGTGAATGAACTATTCTTGATTTTTTGCACTACTGTAAAATTGGACAGATACATTTAAAGTTGTAATAGCTTGGTAATAAAAAAGAAAAAGGCATGCTAGGCCCAGCGCCACATGCCTCTAATCCCAGTTGCTCAGGAAGCTGAGGCAGGAGAATCTCAAGTGTGAGGCCAGTCTCAGCAACTTAGTGAGACCCTGTTTCAAAATAAAAAATAAAAAGACCAAGGGTGTAGCTTAGTGGTTGAGAGTCCCTGGGTTTAATCTCCAGTGCTGGAGGAAAAGAAGGCATATAAACTCACCCCATATTTTTTTCTTGTAACTTACTCTATATAAAATCAGAAGGGTGAAAAACCAATCACTGTGGTATGAGAGACTAGATCACGACTCAAAATAAATAGAAAATATCAAGATTCAGTGACGGATTGGTCCACATTTTCATTCAGGAAAATCCATCCAAGTGTAATAATAAAGTACCTAAAGGTCTACTCCAAGGACAGTTATCCTTTAGCAGGAAAAGGTGGAAATGACCAAAGAAATGCACAGCAGGGCCCAGGTTAAATGTATACCCAGCATATGTTTATTCACACATACTCAATTAGTGGAATGCTAAGGTGTGGCTGTTTTAAGATGTATACACTGAAATTTAAAATGATAGCATATTTGACGTTAAAAAATCAATTTGCTAAATAACCTATATACAATAAGATGCAAACACTAGAATTATGATATCAGCTATCTGTGTTGGAATATATTCCTGCATACCCTAAATCATGTTTAGGACTGAGAATTCAAAGTCAGGAGAGTTACATTTAATCCTCCTGTTTCCTTCATGTTTAGGAGAACTAGTTGGGATTTCATGTGCCTGGCAACAGTTGAGTGTCAGGAAACCAGAGCCAGTGTGCAGGCCACCTTCCAAATGGTAAAGCTGGTCATACCTCATTAAGTTATGGACACAGCACAGTTTGCTAACACACAGTGCTTATAATTTCAATACCACTCGCATTGTTTTTGTTGGTTTCTTTTATTGTTTGTGTTTGTATCTGAAGCTTAGGTTACATAAACTTAAGGCCTTATATTTGTGCTCTGTGAGATCATCTGGTACAAAATTATGAAAGGGTATATACTGGATAGTCATATAATAGAATAATTAACAATGTTATCAGTAATAATAACCCTTGCATTGTGTTCTGGGATTTGGCTTTGTTTTCCATAAAATAGATGCTAATTTTAGTATGTAGGTATACATAAGAATTTCTTCTTATTAGTGATAGTACATGTTCAACATATGAGAATTTATGAAAGACATTTTAGGAATTATTTATCCTCCTAAGATTGGAGAAGCTCATATGTATACAGAAAGCATCTATCAAGGGGTTCTATCCCCATTAGTAAAATTGATTTTAATTTTCTCCTTTTGTTTTGTCTGTTTTTAAATTTTTCTAAAATGAGTATGTATAGTTTTTACAAGGACAATAATTACTATAAATAAGTATGATAGGTGCATTTCAAGGTTACAAATAAGTATCTTTCTTGGAAACCTAGGGTAGAGAACTGTTGGAAATGGTTTCGTTCAACTATGAGAGCTGGCATGGTCCACACAGTCAGGGTCCAAATGTCATTAGGAAGAACCCAAATCTCTAGGAATGGGATCACTAAAAACTTGACACAGTTGGTTTCTTTTCTACTCCATCTTGGATTTTCATAGGAACACCCATGCATATATCAATGTGTGTATGTATATATATATATCAATGGGAGGGAGAATGAGAGGGAAAATTAATAGGAGAAGAAAATATTGGACAATTTGTGTAAGTAAAATTTCTACAGCCTAAATATTTTGGAAATTACCTCCAAGCTTTACTTAGATGTGATTCTGCCAAATATTAGTGGATGACAGTTTGGGGGCTTGTTAGTTACTGGAGGAGTATGAGAGAAACAGTGTCCTTTTCTCAGGCACAAGGAGCAACTGTGTGCTGGGGCTCCTGCTTATTTAATACTGACCATAAAAATGAGTCCTGGTTGTATTTAAAAAAATGCCAGTGATCACTTACAGTTTTCTCTGTACTGGAGCTTCTCAAAATTGAATGTACATCAAAATCAACAGGGAACCTTGTTAAAATGCAAATTTCAGAGTCAGCAGATCTGGGGGGTGGGGTCCTGTTTCTGCATTTCTAACAAGCTCCCAGGCGATGCTGCTGCTGCTGCTGGCCCAGGGTCTGGGCAGTGTGGTCCAGGGCATCCTGAACAACACCCCTCTGCAGTTAATTGGCCCACAGAGAGCAGGAAGGAAACCCTTCAAGCTGGTCTCATTAGGCTCCTGCTTTAATCAGCTGCTGGAAGGAGAAGCAGACTGATCATTATGAGCAACGTTGAAGGTCAAATATAAGCCTAGGACAGCACTCACAGTGATTGGCACCTAGAATGCCCCCTATAGGCCAGGAGAAATAAGAAAAAATATTTAAAAATGAACAAGAAGGGAAAAAAGAGGTATCCTACATGTTATTTTATTCATAGAGTTAAGAAGAAATCAAGTAAACGGAGTAGCTCCTCAATCGCAGGCAAAAGCTTTCTAAAGACAGCGAAATTCCCCTGCATGAGTAGGTGATTCCCAGGTTCTCTTCAGATCCCCCAAAACAGAGCCCCAATAAAGGTCACACACCTTTGCTGGGAAGAAAAACAGAGGGCCTTTCCTGTGGCTTGCATCATTTTTCCTGCTCTGGTTTTATCTTGGAAGCCTTGAGATCGGAGAAATTTTCCCAGTTCATTTTCTTCTTGAGACAAGACTGATGAAGAAAAGACAGAAAGGAGCCATGAACAATGAGCATTTTTATTACAAAGAAAACGAGAGAGACGAATCACAAGGTCCCCTCTCTCCCAGAGGCAAAGATGAGATGAAATTAAATCCAAGTGGCAGGCTTCAAGGTGAGTTCTCCCCACCTCCCCCACCCTGCCATTTAATGTTCATGCTGTTCTTCCACGTACAATACGAGAGATCAAATTCACTTGAATACATCTGTCAGTGAGTTTGGTGCCTGTAATCAGAACCAGAAAATGACCTCTGTACTGAAAAGCCAGCCCATAATGTGCTGCTTCCAGCTGAAATGAAGGAGTTGGGTTTGTCAAGTATGACGGTGGGAATCTTTTGTGGCTCCTAGAATTCTGTGCTAGTGGCCTCCTATTATTCTATCTGGCTGGTTTTTTGATCTGTGCCTCCTGAGTTACATTCTACTCATTGTAAAGCAACCCAAATATCTCACTCATGACACAGGTTTTGGGTAGGAGGTGAGGGTGGGAATTGAGGCTGGGTAGGCCATCAGGTTGATCATTTGATGGATTTTAAAATACATATGCTGGAACCGGCTCTGAATTGGTTCTGCCTGATCTTGGTCTCCTTTTTAAATACAACTGCAGATGAGACTACTGGTAAGTGATCTGTTACAAGCTTTCTACAGATTGATTTGGATGTAGATATAGTCATAGAATTGCACCATTTTTGACACTGCGCTTCTACTGTTAGGGTGTTAGAACATCCTAAGGAGGTAGTCCAGTGGGCACAAAAATAATCAGCATGATTATTTATTATGGTGAAAAACTCTTGCTTCCTATTCTAGGGACTAATTTGATAAAATACAGAGCATCCACATAATAGAGTAAAGGAGACCCAAATGACACCGAGCTTCCCAGAATTTTTGTTTGTTTGTTTTTTCTCTTTTTCTAAACACAGCATTTACTATCAACATACTTTGAATAATACTCTTGTCCTCATTTCTGTACTGATACATTTCCACACCATTCGCATCTCAAACTGCTTTTAAAATGCTGCTAGGATTCTTGTCTATTTTCATGAGCCATACAGATTTCTTTGAGAATGCACCCCATTCCTAAAAATCTCTCCAACAATAATGTAGAGGTTTGTCCAGGACCCATGAATACAAAGATAACAGCTAAACTCACTACAGCTTCCTTCTTAATCTGTGACTATAGTTCACTCTAACAGTCCCCTGGGAGGGCCCCATGGAAATGAGGCTTCAGAATCCATTTTTCCTGAGAGGTAAAAGATGTCCCTCCTTCCTACTTTTGTCTCTCAAAAATCATGCTCACAGATCAAAGCAGGAAGGCTACTTCCTCTGTCAAGTAGTGGATTCCTATTTCTCTGGACAGCAGTGCCTGCTGGGCACGTGTGTTAGCATTTACTGTGGTAGGACCCATGTCAGAGTGTGCATGGGTGAGCATGTGACCTTCCTATGAGACTAGGCTTTCCAGGGCAGGGACCTCGTCTAAACTTTATATTTCCCAGTCCAAATATGAAGCTTTATAGTCATGGCAGTAATTAAATGTTTGTGAGGTTGAACTAACTATAATTTTTGCTTTGTTATCCCTGTACATTTTATTTTAAGTTAAAAGCTTATTTCATATTTATGCCATGGTCCTAGGTACCTTAAAAATTCCTGTAAAAAGTGTTATTATTGTTGTTGTTTTTAATATCTTCCATTTTTCCTCTCCACTGTTTTTTGTATTAATCATTCAATTCCACAATGAATCTTTCTCTATGAAGAGCAATTTCCCACTTTTGCTCCTAAGATCATAAGGCTACTGTCACTTTTTTTTTTTTTTTAATTTGAAGCCTCAACTCATGTATGAATGAACACATTTAGTTTAGGGTCAGGAAGAAACCAGTTCATGGTACCTGGATGATTACACGGCTGATGAAATGTACTCTTTCCTAAAAAAAAAAAAAAAAAATCTAGGTAGAGTGAAGCTTTTAAAAATAATTTTCTGGTCATTTTATACATGGGAGGATTAAACTTGGTGGCAAACAAATTTCATTTAAGTGCTGACTCTGATTAATTGGCAGTGCTTCTGAGAGAGGTGAAAGGAGGTTTGAGCTCCATGGGGCTCAAGGTTGGAATTTTCCAATTAGTGATGGCCATTGTTTAATTTAAACAATTCAAATACTAAAATTAATTGGTAGAAGTTTAAATTCAGGTGCAACTTATATATCAGATAACTCAAAAATTTCTTCTTGTACAAAGTTTTCAATTAACTGGGGCTTAAAAATTCAAATAAAAACCTATCCACATTTAATTGCTAATTAGATTTTCAGATATATTCTCTCAAAATGCAACTGAAGAACTATGAAACCAATTAGCTTGACAACATTAACTCACTTAGCCCAGATTTATGGATAATTCAATACGTACTAGACACTTTTCTGCCCCTGGGAATACAGTGATGAGCAAGACACATGAGGTTCCCTGCTCTTACAGAGCTAATATTCAAGCAGCATGTGATAGAAAAACAAAACATACATAATCACAAATACAAAACAAAAAGAAAAATACAAAAAGAGAGATGGGGAATAAGAGGGAGTGGAAGCTGTCTTTCACTGGGTGGTTAGGAGAGGCATCTTGAAATAGGACCATTAAGCTCAGTTATAAATGACAAGAAGGGGCTGCTCTAGATACCATTAGGGCAGAGCCATGTCAAGAAGGGGAACAACAAGTTCAAGGCTTCAGATATCAGGTGGGGAAAGGTGGCTGGAGAGGTGTGTCCTGTTTATCAGCCATGGTAGGGGAGTTTGGATTCTACTTTAAGTACTACTGGATGCTTTTAAAAGGTAGGGAGCAATAGAATCCAATTTATGTTATGTTTAGACCTTTATGAAACCTCTTATGTTGAAATAATTTTAGACTTATAGAAAAATTATGTATAGTATACAGAATTCCTATATGCCCTTCCTCAACTTCCCCTAATATTATATCTTATATGACTGTGACACAAAGATCAAACTAGGAAATTAACATTGGAATAATACTACCAATGAAACCACAGGCTTCTTAATTTTTTTTTTTTTTTACCAGTTTTCCCAGGAATGCCCTTTTTCTGTTCCAGCATGGAGATATCAAGTGTCCTTCAATCTGATAATTCCTTTATCTTTCTTGTCTTTCAAGACTTTGATGCTTTTTCCCATTTCAGCTTTCCTGAAATATTTTTTTTTCAAATATTTATTTATTTATTTTTAGGTGAAGATGGATACAATACAATGCCTTTATTTTTATGTGGTGCTGAGGATTGAACCCGGGTCCCGCTCAGCCACAATCCCAGCCCCAACTTTCCTGACATATTTTTTAATGTTGTTCAATTTAGCTTGGTCTGATTTCTCGTGATTAGACTGGGGTTATGGACTTGAGGGAAGGATATAGAGGTAAAGAGCCACTCTTAGTGGATGGTATCAAGTTTACATAACAACATGTATTATCACTGAGGATGTTGACTTCTGTCACTTGGTTAAAGTAAGTATCTGTTGGGTTTCTTCACTGTAAAGTTACATTTTTTTTCCTTTTGCAATTATTATTTTGTAATTTTTTTATAACTTTGAGGAAAGAGTACACAAAACTTTCTTTCCACAAACTTACTTTCACTAATTGTGACACTCTTCAGTGACTGCTGACCTGCCATGATTCTCACTGTGGTGTTTACTTAATGGTGATTTTGTAGTATTTTTTCTATATATATTTATTAACTGGAAGTATTTTATAAGGCCCTTTCTTACCTGTCTGTCCATCCATCTACCTCCAGATAGACGTAATGGGTAATCATTTTTTTTCCATGTGTTATATTTCAACAATATCATTATTTATCTTGATACTTAAATTGTACCAGCTTGGACCATAGGCTTTCTGCTATGCCCTTTCAACTTGCACCCTTTTTTCAAAAACTTTCTTGTATGTTGGCCATTATAAAATATTCCAGGCTCATTTTGAACTTTCCCTTCCGCAGCCCTGAAATCAATCATTTCTTCAAGAAGCACTGCTTTTATGAATAAGGGTGTTTAGAAACCAAGAACTGTGTGTTGGTGTGCTCACTACTACAGGGCATTAGTACTTTGAGGTATTGTCAGCAAAGGCAGGAAATATATGAATGCACACGAACCCATGTATACTCACTCATCTGTATTCATTTCTGAATCTCTCCATCTGTATCTATGTTAATAACAAAGACTTCATATGACACCTCTGATTCCAGCCCAATACCTCATGTTTATTCTAGCCTTCTCCCTTTATTCACAACTTCTTTCTACTATAGGCAGTAAGAACCCAGGCTTTCATTATCTATAATGTATTTACTTATTTGTTTTACCTCAGTATACACACACAGTTTCAGAATTGCTAATTGTTACCCCTATAAGAAATAAATATATTAACAAAAGCAGTTTCCATGTACACTCTGTGTTTAGGTTTAGAATCCTGTAAAAAAATACTATTGCCCAAAATTACTAAGGTTAATTCGTTTCTTCTCCACTCTAGTCAGTGTGGTGATGCTATTCATTTTTAATGCAATTCAATTCATTTGTTGCTGCTCGCATTCCATTTTGGAGCCTCCCAGGTCCTGGCTGGTCTTAAGCACGTTTTGAGTATGTGAAACACCACTAAGGTTCCTAGATACAGCTCCCTCCTCACCCTTCCACCCCATTCTCATCCCTACTTCTTTCCAACACTTTCCTACCCACCCCCAGTCTCTTTAATTTCTGGTTTATCTTTCCTGAAATTCTTTAGCATGATAAGAAGACTCTGTGTGTGTGTGTGTGTGTGTGTACTTTTCATTCTTTACATTTCTATTTTATTATACCCCCCTTCTTTCTTGCTGAAGGGTATCATACAATCAATATGCATTTGTGCTTGGCTCCTTTCATTTAAAATTATACCCTTAAAATTACTTCATATCATCAGTTCATAGAGATTTTCCTCATTTCTTTTCTTTGACAGCTGCATAGCAACACCCTCACATTAGCTACCCTATTTTTAGTCCTCCATCCAAGTCGGGATTCCTTTCCATCCCAGCAGTGCAGAACTCCTCCTTCTCATCCCCACTGTGATGGCATGGCTCACAGGAGCTTAGTGGGCAGACACAAAGGGCTCATCCACGACCCACAGCCAAGGTCTGCCCTGGACTCCTTCAAGGTTGGGCTCACTGTTGCAGCCCCTTACAAGATAATCATGAGATTTTATAGTGTTCAATCCTAATTCTATTAATTAATCTGAGATAGTTCAGGGGAAAGGTCTTCCCAGGTGTTCTACTAGGAACATTCAAATAGATGGTAAGCATAATTTCTATTGAGAGAATCACTGTTTATATAGAATCTGCAAGCACCCATCTTTTCTTCCCTTATGACTATATCTATATATATCTATATATCTATATCTATCTATCTATCTATCTATCTATCTATATATATATGGCAACTGACTTCATGTGACTCACTTAATATAAAACAATCACAATTTTATAAATATCTTTTGTTTTCTACTGAGGAGAAAATGATCCATTTCATGCTAAGTATGAAGAGCATGGTAGGTAGAGTAAAAGCAATTTTGACCAATAATTCTCCGAACTTGGGGTTTAAACAAAGGAATGATCTGGTCTGGTTTAAAAGTGTACTCTGATTGCAGTGTAGACAACAGGCTAGTGGAGGCAGAAGTGTAGACAAGGGGATCAGATAGGAAGCTGATTTAGCAAACCAAGTAGGGGAGTGATGGTGGGGCCTAACTAGGGTAGTGGCAGAGAAGACAGAAGAGGAGGGCAAAGCTGAAAGCTTTTTAAGAGGCAAATCAGGCCAGCACTGAGAATGACTAAATGTGGGACAGGGAGATGTGAGGGCCGTCCGCATGTGCCTCAGTTTCCTCATAGCTCAAGATCCTGGAGTTAGAGCCCTGGAGAAGTCTTAGCCCAAACACTTAGTAAATATTAACAAAGATAATTTATATAATTCTTCCTCTAAGTCCTATGAATTTTGGGCTTTCCCCAAACAGTTCCTCAATGAAACATTACTAATGTAGAAAAACAACTTATCGCTAACTTGTGATTATAGAAAAGGGCTTTGGCAGAGCAGTCAGAAATAAAATGACACACTGTATTCTAGTCTTAGAAATATAGAAATTATACTATTATATTTATTATGATTTAAAATAAAGTTTAAAGACATATCAGCATACAACTTGATATTTAGTATTTCAAGGATAACTTTGTTGCGAATGCTTTTAAGACACGATGACTGTGTGAAACTCTCATTCCAGCCCAATACCTTATGTCTGACATGAGAAATGTTCTTGAGGACATACTGTCAACAAAATATCACCAGTGAATTAACTCTATGTGCCTTCTATCTCCACCTGACTTCTTTAAAAGGGACAACAACACTGGATATAAAAGAGCCAGGGCAATCAAATAAAAATAACCCCAATTTAAAAGCCCAAGGCATAAAACTGAGAAAACTTTTTTATACTTGGGAAAATAAATGGTATGTCTAAATCCATGGGACATCCAATACAAAATTCTCCTAGTATGATTCTTACTTTGAAAGATAAACAACCTATGTAGTTTAGGTGAATCTTTGTGGCTTAAACAAATAAATACCCATAAAGAGTTCCTTAAACATGTTAAATGATATATGAAGGTGAAACATACTGCTTTTTCTTAGGGTCTATCTGTCACACTTAAGATATACTTACAACATATCCTCTTTTGATAGAGTACAATTGCTTTAGATAAATCCAAACAGGTTCTCTGAATTGAGTGAAACAACTGTAATAAAAAAAAGAGAACAGAATAAAACAGATAGCAGTGAAATAAAAAATAATTACACTGAACAAAACCATAGTGTATAAATTACCCACTAAAAACAAGATAACATATCTGTCTAAGTGTGTTTGGTGTTATGTAGAGTATCATATAGAGACTGTGACCAGCACCATTAAATACGTTCTTATTTTCCTTTACTTATTGGAATTCATCATCTCTGTGATCTAAATTAAGATCTACAGCAACAATTATTTCCTCCAGACTATTGAAATAATAGCCGAAAACAGAAAACTAAGTGAAGGGCCCAATTAGAGGAGTTGGTAAACCAGAGACCCAATATTCATTCATAACCTAATTTATTCCCTTCACCATTTGCTGTCTTTTTTTTAATGGAAGATTTGTCAAGTAAACATTATATTTAAAAGATGACGTCAACTTGTTTTATGATTTTAATGTATTTTATGGCAAGCTTAAAAAACTGGATAAAGCAAACAAAAATCAATCATCTGAGTGTCCTGTCTGTTTGGAAGGCATCTGGTAAAAATGATGTTTAGTTAGGAGCAAACATCACTACTTATTTTCCTAATGATTTCATAAAATATACACAGTGAGACAACCTAATGCCATTGCTATGGTCATATTAGAGAAAACTGGGGGAAAGGCAAGCAGGAATGAATTGTGGAGAATCTAACTGGATTTTACTCAGGGGGGGGGTTCTCAGTTTTTGCTTCAGAAACCAAGATAGCTCAAGGAAAGACAGAAGAGATAGTAGGGTTTGAATCTTAAATGTTTCCCCAGCGGCCCATCTGCTAACAGCTTCGTCTCCAACCTGTGGTGCTATTGGGAGTTGATGGGACCAAGCAGAAGGCATGGGGGGGGGGGGCATGTTCCCTTGAGAGAGATAAGGAACTGCAGCCTCTTCCCCACTGTCTTTGCTTCCTGGCTGTCCTAAGGAACACATTTCCTCTATTACACCACAGCCTCCAAAGTAATGGGGCCAAGTGACTATGGAATGAACCCTCTATAACTGAAGCAAAATAAAAATTTTCCTGTTTTTAACTTGATTTATCTCACGTATTTGTTACAGTGACAGAAAGCAAACTAACATAACATACTTCACACTTTCTTTACCTCTGACCACAGACTCAAGAGACCTGGGCTGGGAACAATTAGAAAACCTGGCAGACAAACATATTGCCTTGCGGAGTCACCCAGTGAGGCCAGGCAAGGTTTTCTTTTTTCCTCTCTTCCTACTTAACTGGCCACATTGTAGAAATTATGTTACAAAGCACTTCAATATTTGAGTGAAAACAGATGATCTGCTTCATTATAAATTTGACCAAATTATCTAATAAAAATGGATGCATGCACATGTACATGAAAGATTAAAACCATTCCTAGGAATACTTAATATAATAAAACATGGTCATGAAGAATATAAATATATGAGTTTACTAAATTGCATCCTCAACCTGTTTATAGATATGAAAAAAAAATCCTATACCATAAAACAAAACAGAAAACTGGCAGTCTGAATCCGTCCCTTAGCAAATGCTTGATGTCAGTAGTCTGGGCCACAGGCCACCAGAAAAGGACCAAGTTGGTTCTTTTTCTCATTCTTGAATATAGCGGCTAAGGGATGTTCTGTTTTGACTGTTCATTATTTAAAAATTAAGATAGAAGTTGAATGCAATAAAATGCACAGTTCTTTAATGTTCAGTTGTATGAGTTTTTATTATTATAAACATTTGTGTAATCTTGTCCAAAGCAAGATAACATTTCCCATCCATACTGTCCACTGTACTCTGGCAGCCATTAAAAACTTCTATCACCATAGATTCTTTTTTGTCCTTGTAAGGACTTGCTTTTGAGAAAATCATTTTAATATCAAGCAATGTGGATAAATGTTAAACTTAGCACAACATTTCTATATTAACTTCTCAATGAATTGCAATAGTATCTGACCTTCATTAAAATTTGGCCCACAAGTTTTCTGAGCCAGCAAGGTCTTGGTTCATAAGCAAGGCTTCTATGGATAACTCAGTATAAAAAACATGTCATAATGATTTGCATATCATTTTTATATTTTATTGATGGAATCAATTCTCTCTATAACCATTAACATCAGTATGAACATTTCTGCAGAAACTTCTGTCATGGGTAAAATGACACTGCTAACTACTTTGAAAGTCACATGTTAGGACAGCAGTTATTTGGAATAAAGTACAGTGGTTTGTTAAAAGTGTTGTGGAAAAAGTCAACATATAAATATAATATTTAATATAGTAGTAATTAGCATCTTTCTTTTTGAATGATTGACTTGTATTTACTAGGTTGTTAAAAAGGAAAAAGTTATGAACTATGAAAAGCATTTATAACTTATAATAATTTACCCTGCATTTATAATATAAAAATCAGAACATGTTTCCTGATTCTACTTTTTTTTTTCCAATGTAGGAATATCCTTTAGAAAATCCTTGTCAACCCAGCTTCTTTGCAGAATTTCCACTTACAGAAGGAGAGACAGGGCTGATATTAATTGCACCAACATGTACAGGTATTCATTTAGTACCTGTTGAATGTGTACTGTGAGACTGGTGGGGATAAAGTGGTAGGCTAGCACGGACTTTAGCCTTTTACTGGGGATAAGGCAGGCAAACAAACCAACACCTGAGATAATTCCATGAGAGATGAGACCCTGAGCAAATAAAACAAGGCCATGTGTGAGACAGAAGAGTGGGTGGAGTGCATGAGGAACAGGAGTGGATCTCAGTGACTTTAAACAGCATATTCAAGTTCAGGTGACCTTTAGGCCGAGACTGGAACTATGAGGAGGAGCCATTCAAGGGAAGGTTTGGGGAAAGAGTATCCAGGCAGACCACAGGAAATATTTTGATAAGCTTGAACTTGCTTGATTGTGGCCTGAGAAGTGAGAAAAGGCCATTATGCCTGGAGGGTGGTGTGGGCAGTGTCAGTGTTATGGGAGAGAATTCTTAGGACAGGGAGGCAGAGCCAGGTGTGTCAGGAGCTTTGTTAGGTTCCAGAGATAATGTATAGAAGGCATTCTGAATAGTCCCTGGGACATAATAAGAACTAAGTAAACATAAGCTATCACTCTACTTATTACCTAATTTAATTATCATAATAACTGTAAGTAAATAATTATTCTTGCCTCCATTTCAAGCACTAAAAAAACAAGGATAAGAGAAATTTTTTTAGGTCATTCTCCCCAGGTCACAAAAGCTGGCAGGTGCAACTGTAGCCATATTGATTGGTCAGGGAATTCATAGTCTCAAAGTCAGCCATCTCTCACTGGGCAGCCTACATTTCAGAAAGCTCTGCCTGAGTCTAGGTCTATCCTCAGATGAAAGGAAACCCTCTTCCACATAACAGACCTTCCTATGTAATTGACAACTAAGTCTCCCTTTAACCCTCACTGTTTTGGGATAACCATGGTTTCTACCATCCTAGCCACCCTTCTGGGAAATTTGGAGCTCTTTTTTTAGTTCCACTAAATAATGTTAGATTCATTAACTTTAGTTTGCACATTAAATCCAGAGAACCTGTTGAATCCTTATCAGACCATGTATTGTATTACTCCTTTTGACGCCCTGTCACTCACAGAAATGTTATGGTTTCAAAGTTGTAATCTAAACCATTGGCATAAGTGTCCAGCAAGACAGTTAGTGGGCCTTCTACTAGTTATATTAATACTCTTGATCAACCAGGTAGGAATTCAGTTTGCTATATTACTAACTAGTCAAAGTATCTGCTTGGTTAATTCATTCTAGAATTTTCCAGGGTTTAATACCATCTTATTAGGCTCTACTTTCCAGGTTATTTTACCCATGTCCTCTTAATTTTATTATTATTTTTAAATGTAAACATCTGCTGGACCCTTAGTTTTTTGAACCCTCCCCAATTCTGACTCCTCAGCTATCAATAGCAGCAACTCTTTGTAATAATTTTGACAGTAAACATTTATTGGGAATTTACCACATGCCATGCATTCCAACTAAGAGCTTGGAAAACAAATTAAGGCATGCTGGTGGCTGTAGGAAAATTTGTTGATTTTAACAAAATGTACTGGGTATAATTATTTGATTCTAGATCTTCCTGATTTTCAAATATAAAGCACACCTAGGCCTGCCCGGGTGAAGTGATGCTCACCTCTAGCTTGGCATCCAGGTCTGCATCAGAGGCGACAACATGTTCATCTTCCTTCTTCCCCGTGGCTTTAATGAAGGCCTGCTTCGTTTCCCAGTACTTCTGTTGCATCTTATTGACAACTGACTTATCTTGAGTATATCGATCCTGTAAGTCCCAGGAATAACTGCTGAAAACATATAAAGAGCTATTTTATTCAATACTTTCATAAAGATTTAAGATATTATAGCATGAAAAATCTATCTAGATATGGTGTTCTAATATACATTGACATTTACAACATTCATAAACATGTAAGTACTTTCTTATATAGATATTACACCAAGAACATTAAATCAATTCTTTCTAACCTGCTCCAAAATTGCATAAGAGTGAGGAAATTTAGAATCATTTGTAGGAAGTCAAGAAACTACATCTTCAGGAGAATTTAGATATCAATAAGTGGACACACTCCTTTTAGAGGTGGAGAACGAAAGGCCAAGAAGGCCAGGTGACTGGCTCCAGGCACCACGGGGAATCAGGGATGAAGGAAGATACCATCACACTCTCTCCATCCCACTGTACGGAATGAAGTGATGGCAAAGTAGAAAGAGGCTGAAAAATAACACACTTAACATCTGTTAAAGAAGAATCTAAAATAATCAAACTCAGAACTAGGAAGTAGAATGGTGGTTAAGGCCGAGGGGAAAAAAATGATAAACTGCTAATCAACATGCATAAAACTTTCATTTATGCAAGATGAGTAAGTTCAACAGATCTGCTGTATGATACTGTGCCTATAATTAACAATACTGTATTGTACACTGTGAACTTTTCTAAGAAGTAGGTCTTATGTTAGTTGTTCTTACCACAGTAAAGTAAACTAATGGGGCTGGGCATATGGCTCAGGGGTAGAGTGCCTGCCTTTCATGAATGTGGCCCTGGGTTGGATCCCCAGTACCAAAAAATAAAATAAAAAAAAAAATTGAAATCTGTTACTGATTTCTAATGTCATAAACTACAAATTTTTCAAATAATTGCTTAAAATACAGATAGAAAGCCATTGTTCAGGAAGGTCATAAAGCAAATCAAAAAGAATATAAAGAAAAAACTAGAAACAAAACTTAGAATGAAATGGGATTCCTTCAATGAAAGCAATGACTACACCAAATGCTGGCGCAAAGTTTCCTGTTGGTGCTCCATCCTTCCCCCTGCTCTGTGTTCCTCCTATGTCTAAAGTTCCTGTTCCTAACTGCCACACAGGGCCCCTGACAACTTCCCTCTGCTGATATGTAACTTCTTTGACCCCAGCTCTAGATATGCCAGCTTATGTCCTGTGAGCTGCTTCATAGAATTAGATCAAAATACCAGAATCTCAAAACACAATGATTTATACTCTCCTTCCTTGACATTTTCATTAAATCTATAACTTTTAATTCACATGTCTTAAAAAGTCAGCATTTCAGATGACTTCCTTAACAATAGTTATTGCTGGTAAGAGAAGAAGGTTTATGGAAGACTTTCATGGTGGGCCTTATACCCTTCTGTAGTATTTAAACATTTTATTATGAGTTCACAAATGAGAAAATAAGATAAAAATATGCATAACATTTACGTAAAAGACAATCTGTCTATATAACATGCACATTAAAATATTGGAAGGATTGACCCCAAAGACTGTGGTTATTTCAGGGGAATGGGAGGCTCAAGAATAGGGCATAAAATGGATTTACTTTCATTCTCTCTCTCTCTCTCTCTCACTCTCTCTCCAGCCATCATATTAACAACAACAACACAAAAATTTTATTTTGGCATGTATAAAGATATGAATTGGCATGAATATACTTTGTGTACAACCAGAGATATGAAAAATTGTGCTCTATATGTATAATAAGAATTAGTAATGCATTCTGCTGTCATATATAAATAAAGAATTAATTTAAAAATTTTATTTTGGAACAAAAAAGGAGGGGAAAGAGATCTAATAAATACCCACCAGCCTCTACCACTCAAAAAAAGAAGAATCTCAGATTTCAAAAGTTTAAGAATCTTGCTCAAAATCACCCAGGATTAAAATCCAGATGTTTTCTTCCACAGTTCAGTCATTTAGATGTACTCCGTAACCCTTGTATTTTAGCAGCAAGCTCTAAAGTATAGTAAGCAGGAGAGTTTGGGAGGGCCTACTTCTTGGGGCTTTCCCATCTGCCTTAGGTGAGTAACTATTTGCCCAAGACTCCTGCCAGGATATGGCAGCCACTAAGAGAGTCACAAGATGGAACCAGCCCATGATCATGAGGCAAGGTAAGACAGAGAAAAAGAAGTCTGACAATTCTTAGATGACTGTCAAATGGGGATACTTAATTGTTTTTAAAAAATAATTACATTTTAAGATATACAAAAGTTCTTTGAAGTTTGACATTGATGTTACCAAGGACTTGGGCCTAATTTCTTATCTAATGAGAAAGGAGGGATTAAAAAGTGTATTTCTTTAATTAATTGTATATTTGAAAAATAAAATGGAATTCATTCTTATGATACAAATTAAAGAAGGTACAACGACAAAAATCTGCTTGCTGGTGGAGTCACAAGTACAAAAGGTTTAGAAGCACTGCATAAAGGGCTCTAGAACTTCCCACGGGTTTAATATGCTATTTCTATATAATATGTTATTTCTACATAAATGAAAGAGCTAGCTTGGTTACCACATCTAGCTTGATTCTATTCAGCATCATACACTTCAACCATGACTGGCTTCTGAATGTTCATGAAGGTTGCAGTTAGTAAGTCTGAATAGTGTGTGACAGCAGAACCATACTTTATTTCATAGATACCCTACATAACATTCCTTATGCCTTCCAAAGGTGGAAGGTATAAATAAGATAGTAATAAAAATGCATCAACCTGGAAAGGTTATTTACTGTTAATGTGTCTCAATTGTTCCATTCAATAGACATTTGCTGAGCATGAACTATGTGATTTCTACTTTATTAGCTTATCCCAATTTAGTTAAGACAACACACTACTTACCATTTGTGTCCTGACATGTTTTCTTCTTCTTCTTTTTCTACTGTTGTTGATGCGGGGAGAAGGGGCAGGGAAAAAGCATGAGAGGATACGTTATATTAAAACTGAAATAAAACAAACGTGTTTAACAGTTACACATTATGTTACAATTAAACATTAATGTGACACATAAAAATTGTCGACCCAAGCCATTTCTGGTTGTATTTTAGGGCCAAACACTATTCCATAGTAATGCTGCATATCAGTGTGGAGAATGGCTCAGCTAAATTACACTGGAAGAAATATCCCAAATGGAGCTTAAGAAATGAACAGGCAATATACTACTACCTATTGTTGACATAATACCAATATTATGTACAATGAGCTGTGTAATAAAACCACCATGGTTTTAATTAGCTTTTAAATTAAATTTATTTTAACTGACATAGAAAACATAAAATTGTACCTATTAATGTGGTAACATGTAATGCTTCCATATAAAGAATTTCTTAGCACTGAAGAACAATACATTCCAGACAGCGGTTGTCTGCAGGGGATGTGATTTAAGTTTCAACATGTTAGGTTCAATGGTGAATTTATTGCATCCAGATTTGAAATATTTCATATTCAATGTTTTAAAGAAATGAACCAGCACATTGCAAAAACAAAACAAATTAAAAAAATTTAAAAACCCCCAAACCAAAAGATACCAATGAAAGTCTAAAGGAGGAAGCAATGTGATATTTAGCAGCCCAGCAATGAATTTTCATTTCATTAGTTAATACAGAAACCACTTCTGGCCTTTGTCCTTACTCTATTTGCTCCCAGCCGGGAAGCTAGCCAGCCCAGGGGCAGAGCCAAGCAGCCCAGCCACGTGAGCAACACCTGCCTATGTAGGTACTGGAAAAAATGGAGAGCTCACTGCCCCAAAGGAGTGGCCTCAGGCTGCCACAGTGAGTGCTCAGCATGTGACCACTTTAGATGCTCCACAAAATCAACCCAATCCTTCTCTGTCTCAGACAGGGTCCTCAAAACCAGTACCCCTAAAAAGATTAGAAATTTCCTAGGCTTTAAAAAAGTGGTTTAGGGAAATAACTTAAGGTGTTGAAATTCCAGATTTCAGGAAGGGGAGGAGGAGGGTAGAGGAGAAAGAAAGTTTAGATGTTTCTGCAATGATTGCATCCCATAATTGACCTCTGTTCCTCATGCAGGACACTCAGATATTTGGACAAGTGGCTCTGGGGATGACATTCAGCATGAGTGTGCTTTATAGCTTTGCCCTCAGTGTGGCCATGGAGGGACCACAAACTTCCAGTTCTCTCACAACACACACAGCTTGCTTGCAAGTACGCATTTCCTTTAGCTCAAGATTTTCAACAAAATTTCTCACAAAAAGAAGTTGTTCAAAACAAATGAAATTGCCATGGTTTTTCCTAAGTTTCATTTTACCATGAACTACAAGGATAGTTAATGCTTTTTGATTAATGTTTTTATTGTGATAAAAAACACTTTTCTCTCTTAATTCTTAAGTATACAGGACATTTTTTATTTGTTTGTTTTGGTTACTGGAGATTGAACCCAATGGCACTACATCCCCAGCCCCTTTTTAATTTCTAAATTTTGGAGACAGCCTCTCATTAAGTTGCAAAGGCTGGCCCCAAACTTGGGATCCTCCTGCCTCAGCCTCCCTTCATTAGGATTACAGATGCATGCCACTGCACCCTGTTCAGTATTGTTCAATATGTGAACATTGCCATACAGTGGATCTCTTGCATGACTAAAACTTTATACCCACCTAATAGCAACTCTTCAGTATCCTTTTTCCAATCCCTGGCAACTCCCTTATTACTTTCTGATTCTATGAGTTGACTACTTTGGATACTACATATAAATGGAATCATGCAGTATTTGTGCCTTTGTGATTGGTTTCTTTCACTTTGCATAACCTTCTTCAAGTTTATCCAGATCGTAACATGTGACTGGATTTCCTCCTTTGGTAAAGCTGGATGGTATTCATTGCATGGAACACATGCTGTCAGTGGTCATCTGGGCTGCTCCCCCATTTAGCTATTATAAATAATGGTGCAATGGTGATGGATGTTATATATCTCTTTAATATATCTTTCTTTTGGATATATGACCAGAAGTGGGATTGGAAGATTGGTAGTTCTATTTCCAATTTTTTGAGGGACTTCCATACAGTTTTCCATAGTGGCTGCACAATTTTACAATCCCACCAACAGCACAGGATGATGCTGTATCTCTACATCGTGTCAATGCTTATCTTCGTTTTCATGTTTTAGTGGTTTCAGTCAGGTGATAGCCTATTATGGTTTTGATTTCCCTGATGATTAGCAATATTGAGTATCTTTTCATATTTGTTGCCAATTTGTTCATTTTCTTTGGAGCAATACCTTTTGAAATCCTTTGCCCATTTAAAACCTGGATTATGTTTTTCTGTTACTGAGTTAAAGAAGTTCTCTCTGTATTCCAGATTTTAACTCCTTATTTAATATATAGTTTGCAAATATTTACTCCCATTCTGCAGGCTGCCTTTGATTTTGTCTCTGTTGATTGCTTCAAAGGAATCAACTTTATGATTATTAAAATATCTAACAATTGAAATTTTTTTATGTTAATGACAAAAATTACTGAGAAAACTGCTCACTCTACGTAGATTTCCAGGCTATTCCCAGATCATCATGGCTTGTGGCAGTTTTTACTGACATACTATTTACAAACCATTGGAATCTTCTGGAGTATTACCATGCAGATTTATGACCCCCTTCCCTTCCCTGCTGACATACAGTCTCTAGGAATGGGTCTGGGAATCCATGTTTTTGACAAAAATTACAAGTGATTTTTAAGCACATTAAAGCCTAAGAGCCATAGTTAAATGACACACAGGATGTGTCCCTTGTTTCTTCAACAAACTGCTGTATTATACGCCACTAGAGTAAGGAGTGTGGATGGCCAAGTCAGGTAAGCTCTCCAGAGCACATGTGAAGGTCTCAGGAGAAGCCAGTGCTCACATCTCTTTTTATACCTGTCCCAACTCCACATTAGAGACATTCTTAAGATAACCAGACCCAATCCATCCCATCTTGCTCTATCACTTTTCAAACCCAACACTGTCAAAATCACTACCTTAAAAATCATCATTGAGGCTGAGGTTGTGGCTCAGTGGTAGAGCACTTGCCTAGCATGTGTGAGGCACTGGGCTCAATTCTTAGCACTACATAAAAAAAAATCAATAAAACAAAGGTCCATCAACATCTAAAAAAATTCAAAAATAATTATAATCCTAAAACACTGATTTCTGTCCAACACTTTGGTTTATCAAACATTCACTGAGCATCTAATAAATCTAGAGTAGACACTGTCTCAGGCCTCAAGGAACTTGTAATCTAGATAGCTGTGCTCTGCAGAAAAAACACTATCAACTGAATATGTAATTTTAAATGATCTCTTAGCTGTGTTCAAAAATGAATAAGAAATAGTGAAATAAATTTTAATATTTTATTTAATTCAGTATATTTAAAACATCTCAACATATAATCATTATTAAAATACTAATAATATGTTTGCATTTGTATATTTGTACCAAATCTGAAATATATTCACTCAGAGTGAATCTCAATTCAGACTTGACATGTTACATATTCAGTAGCTACAAAGGGCTAGTGTTTTAGTCAGGTTTTCGTCACTGAGACCAAAAGACCCAACAAGAACAACTTAGAGGAGGAAAAATTTTATTTTGGCTCACTGTTTCTGAGCTTCAGTCCATGGTCAGCTGACTCCATAGCTCTAAGCCAGAGGTGAGGGAGAAGAACATTGTAGTGGAAGGGAGTGGTACAGGAAAGTTGCTTAGTTTGAAAACCAGGAAGCAGAGAGCTCCATTCATCAGGGACAAAATATAAACCCCAAAGTCACACCCCCAGTGACCTCCTTCCTCCAGTCATACCCTACCTGGCTACAGTTACCACCCAGTTAATCCAGTCCAGTGGATTAATTCACCAATTAGGTTACAGTTCTCATAATCTACTTATTACACCTCTCAACATTCTTGCATTGTCTCTCACATGAGCTTTGGGGAGATACCTTGTGTCCAAAATATAATTTAGTGACTATAGTATTTAGTGAAAAGTTAGTAGTAAAGACAGATGCATAAACATAATTTCTAGAATAAGGAGACCCTGAACATTTGGAAGCAAACTATAATAAGACCTTTATGAATCTCAACATTTAATAAATTTTGCTGTTAAAATATCATTTCCCTGTAAAATGGAGTAAAGTCTATGATTAATGCTTCAATTTACAATTCTACAAAGGAATCTTCCTGTTCACCCACCAGGCACTCACAAAACGAGCCCCAAATGAATGGTGTCCTGTCTCAAGCTTCCTGACGGCACAGAGAAGAATGCCTGAAACTGCAGCGGCTGTCTCACCTTGGCAGACAAACAAAGGAGAGCAAGGATCGTTGCTTAGGGACCATGAGCACCCGTGATGAAAGGCCGAACCCAGTAACTCAGGAGGCTTAGGCAGGAGGAGCACAAATTCAAGGCCAGCCTCAGCAACTTAGCCAGGTCCTAAGCAACTTAGTGAGACCCTGTGTCCAATGAAAAAATAAAAAGGGCTTGGATATAGCTCAGTGGTTAAAAGGCACCTGGTTCAATCCCCAGGACCAAAAGACACAAATAAAAGAAAACGCCTGAAGCAACAGTACTGACTCCGTCAGCAGTACTGTCCCCTGTGAATGTCTGTGTTTCACTCTTAATCTGTCTCCTCAAGGAAGACAAAGTGGTTGCACCAATAACAACAAAGACCTGTAGAAGTCGAGGTCTAAAAGTTAAAAAATCAATGGGAAGTGAAATATCTTATTTTGATACAACCCTGGGAGGGTGGGAACACATTGGTGAGGGGCGAGCTGTGAGTCTGTGACAGCAGTAAAGGGGGAGGGTGTCTTTCTGCTCAGGGTTGGAACCTTCTACTTATGTGACACTAAAATGACCAACCTCATCCCATGAGACTTTCCAGGCTGCATCTCAATGGGGTT